GATGCGCGGGAGGCTCTTCTTTGTGTCTGCGGCTGGGTAGGTCTCTGCGCAGGCCTTCTTCAGCAGGGGCAGTTCCTGCTCGATGACGACGTCGTATTGGCCTTCCGAGACGCCGTCGCGGTAGACGATGATGTTCTCTGGGAGCGCGTTCTTGTTGGCGCGGGCCCAGCGCTGCAGCCGGGCCTTGAGCATCTGGTCGAGGTCGGAGACCATTTCCTGGCGGGAGGTTTGGATGCGGATGTCGGCGGGCCATTGGCTCAGGGATGCATCGACGGAGGCGACCATGCCGGCGACGCTGGGGGCTTCGGCGGAGGAGCCGGGGGACGGGTGGGTGACGTCGATGCCGACGAGCATGGTTTTGCCTGCAGCGACAATACCCAGTTCGCTCGCTTTAAGGGACTGATTGGCTCCGCCTAGCTTCAGGTTGAACTTGAGGCCGACGTTTGCGTAGTACTGGTCGTTGGCTCCTCTCAGTTTCTCGGCGAGGACGTTGATGTTGCGCACGCCCCGGCGAACGTCGCAGATCTGCTTAATGCAGTTGTAGGCCTCTGTGTCACTGCTGTAGAGGATGGTGAGGATGAGAGTGGGGTTGTGGCGCCCCATTAGCTCGCCCACTGCTCTGTCAATCTCGCCCTCGTGGTTATTTCCAGTCAACCTCATCATCATTCCGGGCTTGGGAGCGGCTGCAGCAACACCGATCTCGTTCAGCTTGGCCGTGAAGGCCTGAAGGGAAGCATTCAGTTGACTCGGGTTCTCAAAGTGCGGTCTGCTCCCTTCACTGTCGATATAGAGCCAAGTCCAAGAAGGCAGCTTTGTAGGTGTGGAGAACTTGATCGCCTTCATGTTCCAGCTGCCACCCATGGTATCGATGTGTCTCTGGTTCGACTTGGCGTCTCTGTAGTATACCCGCGGCGCAGAGAGAACGCGACCAGCAACAGTGACGAGTTGAAGATCTGGTTGCATGCCAAAATTTGCCTATTGAGAACAACCGGTCAACAAGACGTAAACTGACACTGATTAGAGAACACTTACAAGGGTGGGATTGAGGGGATCCTTGAGGCCGAGGACAGCAGTTCCCTTGGAGACAATCGAATTTGCGTTTAAAGAAGGACTTCGGACGGCGAAGCTCAGCATATTGCGCGTTTGCATTGGGGTAAGCTTGGATTTTGCGAACTGTCCGGGTTCGACCAGACAGACTTCAACAGGCAAGTAGGACGGGTTCTCCCTGGTGCCAACGTTGACCACAGGCATGTTGGGATCCAAGGTCTTGTTGTACTCTGCCAGTCTCATCAGTCCTGTTCTTCTTTAATATCTGTCCTTCAGTCTAGGTGAATTTACCTTGCAAGAAGAAATCCGAGACGGTGATATACCGACCCACTGGCGCTGGGCCAGCTTTCGCAGGTTTCTTGCCTTTCTTGCCCTTGGAGTCTCCAGGCTCGCTCTTCTGTCCAGGCGCCTCGAGGAAGAACTGAACATCTTTGGGGCCAGCCCCATGTCTTGCGACCTTCGGGGGATGAGGAAGCGACGCGCCATCAGCCCGAGTCGCGAGTCCGGCGATGGTCTTGATTCTTGGTACGACTTGTCCCTTTTTATTCTTCCTGGTGATATGGGTTGCCTGAACACGCAGCTTCTTCAGGAAAGCCTCCAGTTTGTAGATATTCCGATTGTTACCACGTTGGTACTCGTTGATCACATTTCCCAATGGCCCTTCCTGGTAACAGGCGGCATATTTGACCTGGACATTGACCAAGATACGAGCGGTTGCAGCCCGAACGCTCACGAAAAAGCCTCGCAAGACTTCAAGTCCCGCGCCAAGGTCGTATCTCTCCGCGACGTCTGGATGCCTTGCAAAGTGTTTATTTGCACCAACCGATGCAATGGCCCTGTCCGTCTTCGGATGATGGCCCATGACGATGTTCATCGCCTGGAGGACCTCCGCTTTGGACTCGAACATGGCGGAGGCATTCGCCGACGTCAAGTAGTCAAGGAGGTCGCCGGGGCTCAGTTTGCCAGTGAACTGGCAGTTAACACGGTAAACCCTAGGCTGCTCCGGGTAGTCGTCTTCGTGCTCGTCACGGTAACGGACGTCGTACTGCCCTTGACTGGGAAGCTCAACCTTTGAGATAAGGGTCGACTTGTAATCTGTGGCAATACTGTTCTGGTATTGCAAGAAGTGCTCGTCCAGTAAGAGCCGGATGATTTGTCGGGCTTTCTTTCCAGTAGGCTTGTTCCTCGCTGAATCGGCGACGATATCGACATTGTAGCGGAATAGTTCCTTTCCCACGGACTTCAACTCGAAGTAATTGGCGTAGAGCGTCACTGGATAGCCCTGAGTTCCATAACCTGGACGCTCTGGGTAACGAGCCTGACCGAGAGTTTTCTGATGCTTTACTACCAGAGCCTTGGCTATGGCGGCCTCAGTCTGCTCGACTTTTGTGCTAGGAGCAACAACCCGGTCACCCTGACTAAATCAAGGAAAAACAATCAACCAATGCGCTGTTAGGACATAAAAAGGAAGAATTGATAGCCAACATACGAGAATATCCTGGGCCCTTGGTCGCCGCGGCCACCTCTGAAGCCCCTGCCTCTACCCCCTCTACCTCCAAAGTCCCCTCTGCCGCTGCCTCTGAATTCACCTCTTCCGCGACCTCTGGGTGCATCTCCACGACCCCTCGAGTCTCCTCGAAAAGAACCGCCTCTTGACTCGCTTGGGCGGAATGGAAGCTCCATGGTTCCGCGACCACTGGCGCCGCGGTCTCCTCCGCGTCCCCGTCCATGCTGGGAGTCTCCAGCACCTCTTGAGAACATGGTAGAATTCAACCGGTGGGAAACTAGTGGAGTTCTTCACCTGTTGTATTGAAGAAAATCAAAATTTAGAGAAAGAATGGTCTAAGGAAGACTGGATTAAGCACTGGGGGTCATTTTAAGAGCTAACTCCAGCTCCCCACTTGGCCATCGCGCTTTAAATAAATGGTGGCAGCTCTGTTTGCACGCCAGGCGGTTACTGCGGCGATATGCAACTGGTGAGAAAGAGAATGAGTTGGCGAAGGGATTGCACATCGCCTATGGCGACTCAGACCAATCGAAACCCTGAGAGTGCATCACAAAATGTACCTAGGAGGGTGGCTAATGACAGGTCTTTGTTGAATGGACCATTACCTTAGCCTTGTAGCTTGGGACAAAAGACACTGTGAGATTGTCTTGCTTCAAAGTAGATACAAGGTCTGAAGATGCTCCAATGTCCTTGCAAATATGAATTCCCCTAATGAGACAGATTTGGAAACACACACAGAATGACGTCCGCTACCGTAATTTTATGTTTCTCAACTGTTCCGGACCCCGCCTGAATATAGCATCATGATGTCGCTTTTTGGTGCATCTGTGTTTGGAGAGGATAGATAGGTATGGAGTATCTACTCCGTGGAGATTTTTGATAGAAAGAAACACGGATGCCTTGGTACATATCTAAAGTCCTCGAAGGTACCACTGCCTTTGATAGGGACTAGGATTCTTCCACACCAGAACTCCCTAACTATATATTGTAAGACTCCAGAGGATCCCTAATTGTCTCCTCCGCTGTCGACGCACAGCAGCCACCGAGACCACCAACAAGCCTTTCTTGGACACATATTTCAATGGTTAATAGGTTGTCTGATGCTGACTGGCTCACTGGGAACGGCAGAACACAGGCGCTGCGGCTGTGCTATTTAGCCAAGTGCGATAAACATGAAGCTACCTTGGATATCTACCTACCTAGCCTTGGGCGATCGACAAATCAAATTCCTCCCTTCTCCTTTTCATAACAAAGAAACTGGCAGAAAGAATTTGAGACCAATGGGTGCGATGGCCTAGATCCATGGTCTTTGCCATAGGCTTTGCTGCGATATCTTGTCTGGATCCGCGTAACTTAGTAGCTGCCTGTATCTAGGCTGTAGCCTGTAGCCCTGTACCTAGTCTGCTTCATGCCTGATCGACCCATAGAGAGGTATTGCACATGGTAAAAGAACCATTCGGCTGAGATCACCAGACACAGTAACTAACACTTCTGACAACGACAATATGCCTTCTTCCCTTCGTAATTTTAGCTGATAATAGGGATCATTATCTGGTATAGAGTAGACAAGACTCCCACTGTAAGCACCGCGTCTTGGCCTCAGGCAGCAAACGTGGTGATAACGGAGATAGTAATCTGGATCCTCATCATCATTGACCCTCTGCCGCAGTTGACCATTCCTTTTATTATTTCTTCCATCTGTATCCTTAATTCTCGGTCTCGAAGGACTGGCGCATTTTATTGAATGTCAATCTCTTCTGCGGGTCGCCATATCGCAGAAGAACGAAAGATTCTTGAGACTTCTTTTTGGTCCGTCGCCCCCCTGTTTCGACGAAATCACTTGATAGCGTCGACCGCTTGTGCCCGTCCGCCCATCCACACTATCATTTCCCTGCCTTCGGTCGCCTTCTGCGATTCTTCTTATTAACGCACAGTAGTTCAAGCGCTTCACATTTGTGATGTTTGCGCATGCTGTTAACAGCAGGAAAGCAGTGCCGCATAAATCACCAACGAGCTCAACTCAAAAAAACGCCGCCGCGACCTATCAACCCCACTAAAGCTTAGCAATCCAGGCTCATTGTTCGCTGCTAAATCGTCCGCTGAAACGCTGTCAGAAACTTAGCAGTAATCAAACCTGCGCCTCTTCTCGATATCACGAGAACTTAATCGCCCTCCGTCGACGAGACTGCGTTGTGCACACGCTTGGTCAGCTACCTCTCAAATCGAGCGCGCGACGTACCCAACGGACATTTCACACCTGGATTGAGATATCCCAGAATCTCAGATAAGCACGTGGTGCTAGGCCTCGCTGAGAGCTCGCTATTGCGCCGTGCCCATTCGGAGTTCTGAGGGATCGGGAAGTGAAGCCAGTTGGCCTACGTGGCTTGACTTACGAATACATTTCGACAAATCTAGCAAAACCGTTCTCCAAGGTCTCATCTCCGAAATGTCGCCTACTCCACCATCTACCTCCTCGAGCGTTGGCGCCGTTTCGCCGGAAGGTCAGTTTAGAGTCATCCGAAAGCGAAACAGGGTGCCACTTTCTTGCGGCCCCTGCCGGCATAGAAAGTGAGTATTTTCGTCTTTCCCTTCATTTGAAGAAGAGCATACTCTGACACCGTATCATCAGATTGAAATGTAACCGCGCCCACCCATGCGAGAACTGCGTAAAGCGAGGCGATGCTTCTTCCTGTACCTATGCTCAAGCAAATGCGCGAAGGAAGAACGCGACACAGAACTCGGCCTCAAGTTCCCCAGACGATATGCAGAACAGAATAGACCGACTCGAGAGCTTGGTACTGTCCCTGATGACCAACGGATCGCAGTCTGCAGGCCCGGCAGCGGCAATGGCAGCAATTTCCGGAACCAGCAGTAGTGTGGGCTCCCTCAATCACGGTCACGAAATCGATGTGGACGAAGAGACATCAAATGCTCCGGAGGAGAGCGATACGGAGCAAGTCACCAAGTCATTTGGTATCATGAAAGTCGACAACAATAAATCATACTATATCAGCGATGCGCACTGGGCTTCCGTCCTCAACGATGTAAGTCAGCCCTTGACCATGCGCTCATAAGTTCTCTTCATTTACATGAAACTACAGATCGCCGAAGTTCGTAATTACTTCCAAACACACAAGAAGCAGTATGAGGAGCAAGCCGAGAAGATCAAGACAACCAAGTTGCCGACCGATGTTCCGGGCTCCACGCTGCTTCTTGGAGCCATGAAGCCTGCCAGCCGCGCAGAGATTATGTCTTCCTTTCCCTCGAGGTACACAACAGATATGCTTATTGCTCGCTATTTCAATAGCTATGATCCAGCGACTCGTGAGTACCAACTGACTCCGAGAACTTGCATGTAAACGCACGTATGACTAACGCGCGAACAGATATTCTTCACGGTCCGACGTTTCAAGCTCAGGTAAGCATGGTTGTTCTCCTGCAGACCGATATTCATTCTGACTTCCTCTCCCAGTATAACAAACATTGGGAAGATCCTTCTCAAACCTGCATTGTCTGGGTGGGCATGCTGTTCGCCATGATGCGACTGGCTATGCTGTCATATAACCAAGAAGGGGACGAGCCACCCGAGTTTCGAGGAAAATCTTTGGACATGGCTGGAACTTTTCGAAATCTAGTCGCTCAATGTCTGACTCTGGCCGATTATACCAAACCTTATCCCTACCTGATCGAGACATTCATCTTTCATCTTCATGGTGACTTTCGTCAAACGAAGGAAGCAGATGTTTCTGTCTGGGTGCTTGTAGGTGTCGTCGCAAGGCTAGCGATGAGAATGGGATATCACCGGGACTCAAAAGTTTTCCCCAACATTACCCCCTTTCAAGGTGAGATGCGCCGACGCGTATGGACTTTCGTGCGGCAATCCGACTTGCTCTTTTCGTTTCAGGTTGGGCTGCCCAGCATGATTCGCACTGTGGATAGTGATACGGAGCTTCCGCGGAATCTATATGATGATGATTTCGATGAAAATTGCAAGGAACTGCCTCTCTCACGACCGGCGAATGAACCGACACCTATCTCGTACCTCATCGCCAAAGCCCGTCTGGCGTACGTATTTGGCCGAGTCAGCGAGCTCGCCTCTAGCGTGCAAAGTGAATCTTATGACAAGGTGATGGAGTTGGATGCTGAGCTTCGCCGAGCTCGGGACTTGATTCCGGAGCATCTTGTCATTCGTCCTATTGAGGAGTGTCAGTTGGACCCGTCCAATCTTATTATGTCGCGCTTCGGTGTACGTCAATCACTTGCAAGATATACCGCGATTTGCAGTACTGACCTTTGGCAGATAATGAGCGTCTATCATAAAGCGCAGTGTGTTCTCCACCGGCCTTATATCGTTCTAGCACGTGGAAATCCCCGATTCACATACTCACGCAAGACTTGCATCGATTCAGCCCTGGAGCTGCTGCGGTTTCAGTCAATGCTACACGCAGAGACAAGGCCGACGGGACGTTTGCGCACAAGACAGAATCGCGTAAATTCCCTCAGCTCCAATGATTTCTTGCTCGCTGCAACTATTGTCTGCTTTGACCTGTATCATGGACTCAAATTGCAAGCCGGTGGAAGAGATTCCGGCGACACCTTTGCGTGGGGCAGGGAGCGACGACAGGAGATGATCATGGCATTGCAACGTTCTCTAGAGATTTGGGATGAACTTCGTGACGAGTCACTTGAAGCTTGGAAAGCCGCTGGCATTCTCGAAGTGATGCTTGGCAAACTGAATTTAGGGTTTCCGGAAAGTAATGCTACTGCGCCGGCCTTCGAACCTCAGGATGAGAAGCAAAGCGCCGCAATGACCTTGGGATTGTTGAGCAGTGGACTGAGCGCCGTAAACTCAGGATCCCCCGCATTTAACGAAACTGGTTTCAAAGTGTCAGAAACGCCTTCTGCCCCGGGGCAATTTGGATCCACAGCAGAGGTGCCCGGAGCTGTGTCCCCGTTCAGCACAATGTTTGGACAAATGCCTGATATGCAGCTGAACTTGGATTGGGTAGGCCTGACCCTTTTCATGCCTTGACCCCACTGGACATTACTAACGCCCGAGAACAGGAGGCTTGGGACACTTATATTCAGAGTTCGAATCTTGACATACAGAACCAATGGTGGCCAACGTTCGATGGACAGCAGCAGCAACCATCACCAGCAGCACCACTACACTCGTCGTTACAGGGTCAAGGGTCCTTATCCTCCACACAGTTACCTGCTATGCAGCAAGGTAACACTGCGGATAATATGCGGCCTTTGCCTCGCTTTTCCAATGTCTTCTCGCCAGACCCAGTGAAGTACGAGAGTCCGGGCCTTAGCGGGACTTACGACAACAACTCTTCTCAGAAAAGCAACAACGCTCCAGGCGAGGGCATCTTATAGTGGTACTCATGTCGATCGCAAAAGCACTTTGTTTGAAAATCCAGTTGGCCAGCGATTCACTCTTTTTTGCAGGATTATCTTTTCTCATACCGGTGTATGGTTTCGAAGATGTGGCGTCTTCTCAGGACTAAAATCACCCTCTTTCTTGTTGGGATGTCTGGGAAATGTACAAATCCAGAAGGCTGTATATATCATGTTTCTCCACTCGATTCCCAGAATTTCACTGTGAATAATCGCCTGAATATTTGGCACTAAGTCGGTTTTATTCTCATTTCTTCGCACAAAACAAAAGCTGGTAAAGAAGTCTCAAGCCTTTCATTCTCTCATTCATAGATCCAGTAGTCTCATATGGCGCATGGCCTGACGCTGTCACGTGGCCTTATCGGATCCGATAAACATTTTGCTCAACGCATTCTGTATTTTCAGCCTTTGCCCTCGGTCATATATTCCCAACTCAATTCACGAGAACACAGAAAATGTAAGAAATGACCCATCTATTCGATATGGATGCTGTGATAGGTATTTATCTATCAAAGACGTCGTGACTGATTGCTTCTCTTTCAGGCATTGCTTTCGGCGAGCAGCCAGTCGCCTCCTGTCTCTGCCGGTCTCTGCGCCGGCATGGTCATCCCGGGCCCTCGCACCTCGCGTCCCTCTACCCGTATTGCGCCCTCTGCAATCACAAATACCATTACATACGAGATGGTTCAGCGACAACTCCGCCAGCCGGGATCCGACGAGCTCGTCAGAGGACGAGAATCATGATCCTTCGGACATCATTGCGGTGGAGTCTGATGTTCGCGATGCGGAGCCACTGATAAGGAGGAGGCGGCTCCGACTCCTGGAGACTTCCCCCGCGCCTAAAGAGACAATCTATGTTGGAAATATCTTCTACGATGTGACAGCCGAAGATTTGAAGAAACACATGCAGCAGTTTGGTGTTGTGGAGAGAGTCAATGTCATTACTGATAACCGGGGAATGAGCAGAGGGTGAGTCCAGTTTCTATTGTCCTCTGTGGGAAAGGAGAATTCTAACAATGTGTTCCTTTTATCGAATAGGTTTGCGTACGTGCAGTTTGACACTGTCGATGCCGCCAGACGTGCCATCGAGGGTATGCATTTGCAAATCTATGAGGGCCGTCGTGTAACCGCACAGTATGCGACTAGCAATGCGGACGGAGTCAAGCCCGTGCAGCCCGTTTCGAAGACGTTGTATCTCGGCAACCTGTCGTTTGAGATGACCGATCGGGATCTGAACGATCTCTTCAAGGACATCCACAATGTGATTGATGTTCGGGTATCGATTGATCGACGATCAGGACAACCCCGTGGCTTCGCTCATGCAGAATTCCTCGATATTGAGAGTGCCCAGAAGGCTTTCGAGATTCTCAGCCGGAAGGCACCTTACGGTCGACAAATTCGCGTGGACTACAGTCATACCAACCGGAGGGCTGATCGTATCGAGGAGGTTACGGGTGAACATTAATCAGTCTCATTATTCAGTCGGTTGGGCTCTGCTTCTTTTTTATGTGTTTGGTTGTCTTACAAAAATTCGGCGAATGATGTACCATTTTACATAAGATGTATACTCAGCAGGCATTCGGAAGTATATTATATACAAGACACAGTTGTAGTGTCTCTCGATGTAAGAAACGTCCGAATAACTGCCTACACCTGATGAGATTACCTCTACTTAGAAAATAATAATAATGGACAATGGACAGGGATTTCGTGATATTAAAGCACGTGACCTGGCGGCGGACCTCGGCATCAGCACCTCTCCGATCGGTTTCAACCCCACGTTTTTGGCGGAGATACCGTTGCCATCTACCATCCTCATCTTTCTTTTTATCCTCGAGTCTATCGAAGCTGATCGTTGATTGTTCAAATCTTTTCTCCACTATTAATGTTATTTTGTCAGACGAGTTCATAGTAAATCTGTCAACATGTCGTTCCTTGGCGGCGCTGAGTGCTCCACCGCGGGAAATCCGCTCACACAGTTCACAAAGCATGTTCAGGACGACAAGTCGCTCCAACGGGACCGCCTCGTTGGCAGGGGTCCCGGGGGCATGCAAGAGAGTATGCGGTCGAGGAGTATGATGGGCGGTCAGGATCAGGTATGATAATTCCACTCCCCTTGAAGCTACTGCTAGTTATTCTCGCTAACAATGGATTGGTAATCTATGTAGATGATGGACGAGTTCGCCGCACAACAACCAGGCCAGATTCCCGGGGCAGCACCACAGCCATTTGCGATGGAACAATTGAGGCGCGAGTTAGATCACTTTCAGACCACTCCGCCGAGGACGGGGTCTCCCGGGTGGGCGGCTGAATTTGATACTGGCGAACATGCCCGGATGGAGGCTGCCTTTGCCGGCCCTACAGGGCCTCTAATGAACAACGGGTCCGCATTCACACCTGCAGAGTTTGCTCGCTTCCAACAACAGAGTCGGGTTGGCCTGCCACAAACGTCAAGTCCAGCCACGTCCGCGTCGCCGATGATGGCAGGTTACCAGCGTCCTATGGGCATGGGGTACATGGGGATGGGAGGAATGGGCATGATGCGTCCAGCCTATACACCCATGGGCATGCAACAACAGCCAGCGGAGGCCGCTACTCAGGACAAGGGCAAGGGCCGCATGGTCGAGCTCGACGATGAGAACTGGGAGGCGCAGTTTGCCGAGATGGAGACGGCGGGCAACCAGACCCTGGACGATGAGGCCAATGCAGCTATGGAGGCGGAGCTGAATGATCTTGATAGGTCAGTCCCCACTACTGACACCGGTAATGCTCAAGATTACGGTGCTTTTGAGAGCGTATGGCAAAGAGTCCAAGCTGAATCGGCGGCAAGCAGGAAACTGGCAGAGGAAGACGCCTCTTTCGATATCAACGACAACATGCACCTGGGAGACCTTGGCGAGTGGGACGGCTTTGACAACCTCAACACGCGTTTCAGAGATCCTCAGCTGGGCGATTACATGTTCGAAGAGGAAAACGTGTTCCGGAATGTGACCAACCCCTTTGAAGAAGGCGTCAAGATCATGCGCGAAGGCGGCAATCTTTCCTTGGCCGCTCTGGCTTTCGAGGCGGCTGTTCAGAAGGACCCTCAGCACGTTCAAGCCTGGACAATGCTGGGATCCGCACAGGCGCAAAACGAGAAGGAGCTTCCTGCTATTCGGGCCCTGGAACAGGCGTTGAAGATTGATCCCAACAATTTGGACGCACTCATGGGGTTGGCTGTTTCGTATACAAACGAAGGGTATGACTCGACAGCTTACCGTACCCTCGAGCGTTGGCTTTCAGTCAAGTATCCTCAGATCATCGATCCCAAGGATCTGTCATCCGACGCAGACTTGGGCTTTACGGATCGCCAGATTCTACATGAGCGGGTCACCGCTCTATTCATCAAGGCGGCTCAGCTGTCACCTTCCGGAGAGCAGATGGATCCAGACGTTCAAGTTGGCTTGGGCGTTCTGTTCTACTGTGCAGAGGAATACGACAAGGCTGTCGACTGCTTCTCCGCCGCGCTGGCATCTACAGAGTCGGGCACGGTAAATCAGAAGGAGCAGCTTCACCTTCTCTGGAACCGTCTCGGAGCTACCCTTGCCAACTCCGGTCGCTCAGAGGAGGCTATTCAGGCATACGAGCAAGCTCTTACAATCAACCCCAACTTTGTCCGTGCCCGGTACAACCTCGGCGTATCCTGCATCAACATTGGTTGCTATCCCGAGGCCGCACAGCACCTCCTAGGCGCTTTGTCTATGCACCGTATCGTTGAACAGGAAGGTCGGGAGCGAGCTCGTGAGATCGTTGGCGGTGGTGAGGGCGGTATTGATGACGAACAACTGGAGCGAATGCTCCATATCAGCCAGAACCAGAGCACCAACCTGTACGATACGCTGCGGCGTGTATTCAGCCAGATGGGCCGTCGGGATCTGGCTGATATGGTAGTGGCAGGAATGGATGTGAATGTGTTCCGGAAAGAATTCGATTTCTAGGAATGATACCTCCTGTGTTTTCTGTCTTTATAGAACGAACGGGCAAGATGTGGCATGATCGGGCATGTTTATTTCATGTCTTAGTTGATGTGTTGGATACCATATGTCTTTACTTCGTACCATTAAGGTCAACATGCAGCGAATTTGATTTACACCATGAGATATCGCTATCGAACAAATAGATGCTAGGAGAATCTGCTTATATTCCGCAGTCTGAAGTGTTTCTTTTCCAGCAGTCTTCGTATGTCTCGCTGCGAAGTCTACCGATGCTGATCGTCTAAACGATCGCTGATAATAAGCCATCTATTATTATTTCTATATTCTGAAGTCAAAGAAGATATAGGTGTATAGAATACTGAGTGATAACGCTGTTGATGATGAATGACTCGATTCCTCGGGAATGATTCCGGCCTTGCGTCATTTTGGAACCTCGGGATTGCACGAGAGCATCTCCTCATCCATCGCCATCCTCCGAAGCTCCAAGTTCGCGGAGATGGCATTCCATCGATGCTCTGATACTTGATACATAATACTGAATTGACTCACTGTATCTCGAGCACCAGGATGGCTGTCGTTACTAGTGCTCAGCTGATTGCTCGGACGCTGCGCGATCTAGGCGTCACTGTTATCTTCGGGTTAGTTGGTGTTCCAGTAATCCAAATCGCAGAGGAGGCCATCAACTTGGGTATTCGCTTTATTGCTTTCCGTAATGAGCAGGCATGCAGCTATGCAGCGAGTGTTTATGGGTATATGACAGGACGACCCGGTGTCTGTCTTGTCGTTGGAGGACCAGGAGTCCTCCATGCCTTAGCTGGGGTGAGTGAGCGCGATCCAAATCACCAAGCTGTGACTGACAATTCCCTGTAATACACAGATCGGCAATGCTTCCGCGAATAACTTCCCCCTTCTTGTACTCGCCGGATCGGCGGAGACATCAGGCGTCACCAAGGGCGCCTTCCAGGAGATGGACGCCATCTCGTTCCTCACGCCGCACACCAAGTTCGCCGTGCGACCGCCGTCTCTCGATTTCGTTGCTGGCGCCGTGAAAAACGCATACCGGACATGCTGGTACGGACGTCCGGGACCGACGTTCGTCGACCTGCCTGCCGATCTGATCCAAGGCAAATCATCGCATGGTTTCCGCTTGCCGGAGCCTGAGGATGTACTCGTCCCGACGCCTCCGAAGGCGAGCGGGGACCCCGCCCTGATCCTCAAGGCGGCCCAGTTGCTCAAGGCGGCTCGTTCGCCGTTACTGATTATCGGCAAGGGAGCCGCCTATGCAAGGGCAGAGGGTGGGATCCGTAAGCTAGTCGAGCAGACGCAGATTCCTTTTCTGCCGACCCCGATGGGGAAAGGCGTAGCGCCAGACTCACATCCTCTCAATGTGTCGAGCGCGCGGAGCACGGCGCTGAAGCACGCGGACGTGGTGTTGGTCCTTGGGGCGCGGTTGAACTGGATTCTGCATTTTGGCGAGCCGCCTAAATGGTCTCCCAAGGCGAAGATCATCCAGGTCGACATCTGTGCCGAAGAGATAGGTCGCAATGCGGGCACTGCGGAGCTGGGGATCATCGGAGATATCGATCTGGTGGTTGAGCAGCTGCTGGCTTCTCTTTCGAACTGGCGTTATGCCTCCTCGGCTGTTCCGAGCCAGTTTTTGTCGTTGTTGGCGGAGTCGGCGAAGAAGAATGAAGCCAAAGCGCAAAAGGCTGCACTCACGCCTACGCCGAAGAACTCCCCCTTGACTTACCAGCGGGCCTTCCAGATCATCAAGACGACGCTGAATTCGCTGACGCCTTTTGAAGAGGGGAACGTCGTGTATGTATCGGAAGGCGCTAACACTATGGACATCTCACGTTCGGTCTTTCCGCTGAATCATCCCCGCCAGCGTCTGGACGCTGGCACATATGCTACGATGGGCGTAGGAATGGGATATATCATCGCCGCTCACGAGGCGTACAACGCCTTTCCAGCTTCCACAGCCAAACCAAAGAAGATCGTGGCTCTTGAAGGTGACAGTGCGTTTGGGTTCAGCGCGATGGAAATCGAGACCATGGCACGCTACAGAATCCCCGCTCTCATCTTCGTGGTCAACAACTCGGGCATATACCACGGCGACAGTACTTCCGAAAGCTCATGGAAGGAGCTACAGGCTCAGACGGCTGCCAACGACACTAAATCTGACGGCCGGGATGACGGCAGAAAGGGCTTGCGGTCGACTAGTCTCCTTTACGAGACCCGTTACGAGAAACTCGGTCCCATGTGCGGTGGGAAGGGATACTTTGTCCGCTCTGAAGAGGAGCTGGAGACTGCTACGCGGGAGGGGTTTCTGAGTGATACGGTCACCGTCGTCAATGTCATTGTGGAACCGGGCATTGGGAAGAAGATAGGGTTTGCCTGGCAAGGGAATACCCATCAGGGACAGGCGAAATTGTGACGACACTTATCTCGATTCGGCGCTGTAATATCTATAGTCTAACAATAGTTATAT